TTGATTTTATCTTTAAGAATCCTGTAGTTATTAGGTATAACTAATTTCTAGAAACATAATGGAGATAATTTCACATAATTTCAAACAGAATTCAATCTAATATTCTCTGGTACTGATTCCAATGAAAGCTCTTTGAGAAACAATTTTTGTCACATTTTTCTTAAATTCAAAGAATTTTAAGATACATCATCACATTAATGATCTGTTATGGATTATAACTTATGTACTAATCTAATACCTTCTTGAAATGTCTTGACATTTTCAATTGATCAAATTCTTAAGAAATAAAGTCCTTCTGCCCTTTCGATTTCCCTGCAGTGTGTGTGACATCAAAATACCAATCGGATTCTTTTCATTGCATCAACACTGTATTGAGTATCGTTTAGATAATTAATTCAAGATTAGCTGGGAGTCAGTTAACTGTGATTTCTCCCCCAAATAATTAGCTGGACAGATCTTTTGACTGGAATGTTCTCCTAATCTAAGGTCTATGACCAATCATTGAGAAACACCTTGAATGTTTCCCTGATATTGAATAAGCACTCTCTTAAAAAGCTGCACTTTTAGTTGATGTGAGGACAGTGAGGGGGAAACAGATCCAAATTCTCAATGAGCAAGAGGTGAAACTGAGATTCAGGATAAACTAACCAAAAGAAACTTCAAATCTCTCAGTTCTGGGTTCTTCTCTGGTAACAAGGCCGTAAAATATATTAAGCCAAAATTCCTCCCTTATATTTTTTCTTCTTCTCCCCACTTCTTTTTCCTCATTGTTTTCCACCAAAATCTTGCTAGTTAGAGATTTCTTAGGTAAGGAAATAGACTAAGAGATGAAGCTAAAATGTTATTTAACCATTGATGGACTTTGGGATCTGAACCAGGTAGGACTGATTCTAAATTTCCCACTGGCAAAAGCCAGTTTTCATCCTACATCATCTTTGGAGTTTTTTCACTACTTTTCATGTAATTTCACCGTCTCCTAAATCATTATTTTTTACTATTTGGGTAGACTCATGTTTATGTGCAAAGTTTATAGATTTCCCATCTTTCTGGAGAAACTTTAGAAACACAGTGGATATAGCAAAAAGAGAACCATGAAAACATCCTTCTGTGGCCTCTGAAGATTGCTAAAATGTGATTTGGTGAGTGAGGGTTTGAGAGATTATCGCTGTCACACACATGAAAGTTCTGTCACACTCTCTCTTAGAAAGCCAGTGCTCCTCTTTGTCGTCATCATCTCTGCACTAAACTGGCTGAAAAAGCAGTGTCTTCCTTTCCTCATTTCTTTGGATTCCAGTTCTGTGTGTTCCAAGCAACACCCTGGGTAGCAACAAAGTCTAGATGCTTTCTGCCAGGGGAATAGCTCTGGCTCCTATCCAGAGAGCCATCTGCTCTGTGGGAGGGATGAGGGAGTATGGTGAATAGGAAAAGCAAGGTCAGCTGTCAGAGTAATCAAGACTGTGAACTGCTGGGAGATGCCCAGGGCAGGAGACGCTCAGTCTAGCCATACCAAGAGTTCCCACCCAGAGGCATTGGGATGACACAATCACAACACAGGGACACTTATTCACAGCCAGGCACCCAACCTCTTTCACTTAGAGACACTTCCTCATATACCTTCAACTTAGGAGATGTATAAATTGTCTTTGCAGAAATTAGAAAAATTATCTAATTTATGCAGGACAATCTCAAGTTGGACAATCTCAAGTTGGTGGCTTGCATGAAACATCCTTCTATCTGGCTTAAGGTCAGTTACATCATCCCTCTCTTGACCTTTGGGTTGACTGGTGAGACCACCTGCAAGCTTGCAAAGCAACCTGAGAACGTTTCTCCTGCACTCGCATCCCTGAATTATCATAGGCCATTTGCCTTCCTGCTTCTCAAACAACTGCAGGACAGGAATCTGGGTGTCCAACCCAAAGCAGGTGTCTCAACAGCACCTCACAGAGGGTGAAACACTTGGTTAAAACTTAATAAACAACTGCTGTTAAATAAGAAATTCCTTTTCATCTTGGGGAAAGAAGAGGGGCAGATGAAAGTTTTCACAAATAAAGGATACACACCAAAAATCTTCCTTTAAGCAGACACCTTAGCTTTCTCGCTTTCTCTCTCTCTCTCTCTCTCTCTCTCTCTCTCTCTCTCTCCAAAACTTTTCCAACCTCAGAAAATTTTATAAGAAGTCATCAACTTCCACGGATTTCTATTCTCACTCATCAGAGCTGTGCAGCAACTGAATTTTATACCAAGCTCCTGATTCATGTTTCAGATGCTGCAGGAACAGGAGGGATGAAAAGAAGTTGTACCTGCAAGATGAGCATACAGCAAGCACAACCTAGGATGCATCAAAAATATGCGCAGAGAAGAAGCCTGTATACCAGGGCATTGTGTTTGTAGTAGAGAAAAACGACTTCTGTTAAGTCAGGTTCAATGGCATAAATTAGGACACACTCATATAATTGACAGTATTGTTATAAAGAAATAATACTGTGTTACTGCTTAAGATGATTATTTTAGAATAATGTGTAAGACCATGGCAGAAAAAACCACTCCCAGTATATTAAGTAAAACACAAATGACAGAATTCAACACAATCACAACTTTACCAACTGTGAGGAGAGGCAGACCACTGTGTTTCACAGACTATTTCTGGGTAATAACGAGTTTTAAGGTTTTGTTTAAACTTTTTCATAGACATTTATTGCTTTTGATAAAAGTAAGTTTCCTTTCCAAATTACAAATGAAAGAAACACATCCATCAACAAGGGAAAGGTGCTATTCTGTCTCCTGACCACAGTTACATTGGACTAGGGAGGGTGACATGGGGGCCACAGGAGCTTTAAACCCACAACCAGAAAAGCCCTCCCCAGCCTGAAGTAGCAGCGAGGCGCTGGCAGGCTTAAATAGGAATCCCTTTCTCTGATGGGGCAGGATGAATGTTTTAGTGAAAAAGGTGTCAATAGAGATTGTTCTTTAGATGCTGAGGGGGCTGGAAGCAGGGGAGAGCACTGTGCGCACAATCACTTCATTTCTCTAAGCACCAGGTGGGGAAGCCCTGACACAGGTCTTGCCTGCCTGTTAGTCTGTTGTTGAGTTAAATAATGGAATGTGCGTGCTACAGTTTTGTAAACAACCACAACCTCTGTCAGCGACTGCCAAAGCAAATGATCCATCTCTCCACTTCCTTTCAAGGTATCGGGTGAAACTATCTTTATCCCGTCTTGCACTCTAGAAAAGTCTACAGGAATTTTATCAGCCACCTTACACTCATCTTAGGCTTCTCTGTCTCTTTGGCCTATGTAAGAGAAACTTACTCTCTGTTCACCCCACTTGTTTCTTTCTTCTTCCTGCCTACTGGAGCAGATCAGCTTTTCAGCCTCTCCTGAGGTCCAGAATTCTTGGTTCAGGAATGTGGCTCCAGGTTCTAGTCACATTCTCCCCTTCCTGGCTGAGCTCCACCCACCCCCAGATTCTCTGGTGAAATCCTTCATACACTCTCACTTGCTTCATTTCCTGACTGTGTAAGTCTGGGAGAACACATGGAGGTTCCTGGAAACTAGTGATGTTGTTTAGAGTGTTTGTCAGAGAGAGTGCTACTGAACGCCTACACGAGGGAAGGGTCCGAGAACGATTCTGGGGGTAGGAGTAAAGCTGGGTGTGTACTGTTCCTTTTAAAATGGGTAGATTTGGAGAGAGAGAGAGAGAGAGAGAGAGAGAGAGAGAGAGAGAGAGAGAGAGAGAAAGAGAAAGAGAAAGAGAGAGAGAGAAGAAGAAGAAGAAGAAGAAGAAGAAAAGTGACTGTCATAGAGGCAGACTGGGGGGGTGGGGGGGTAGGTGGGTGGCAGGAAGGAAATTAGGGACATTGGTGGTAGGAAATATACACTGGTGAATGGACAGGTGTTGGAACATCGCATGACTGAAACCCAATCATTAATAACTTAATAACTGTGTATCTCATGGTGATTCGATAAAAATAAATAAATAAACAAAAAGAAAAATAGGTTTCCAGCAGTGTTATATTTGCTTTGATTTTTGTTTTTTGCTTTTTTTTTGAAATGGGGGGAGTAGGACAAATAAATTTGGAAATTTCTGTATTAAATAGAGGGCCCTGAATCCATTCATCAGTCAAATACTTGATACACTAGAACACAAGTTTAAATAACCTGAGATCATTTGCAATCTCCCCAAACTGCCATGTTCCATGTTTGAGCATCCTCCACTCCACAGAGACAGTCAGCTGTGTGGCATTCACATGCCAAGTGCAAGAGACAGAGAGGACAGGAAACACACCCAAGAAAAATGAAAAAAAATGTTACTTTCCATTTCTTGGTGGTTTGGTGATCTGTTCTTTTATTGTCTTGAAGGAAATATATCTAAAGTGGACATAGATTCAGTCAAAGTACTGGAAAGAAAACATTTGAGAATAATGAAATACTTTTGGCAGCCCAATGCCATGAATGTTTAGTGTGTTATAATTAGAAAAGGATTAAGATCTATATAAGATCTCTTCAGAGAGAAGAGGAAACACTTGTTTCAGAAGGACAGTACTGCTCTACTGGTCACTCATATATTTTATCATTATAAAATACATTCAGTGGGGCCATATGAAAATAATAAGCTTGGGACCAGAGAGACAGTATAGCAGGTAAGGTGGTTGCCTTGCACATGGCCAACCCAGGGTTAATCTCCAGCACCACATAGTCTCCCCCAGCACCACCAGAAGTGACACCTGAGCACAGAACCAGGAGTAAACCCTGGATACTGCTGTTTCCAGAAGGAAGGAAGGAAGGAAGGAAGGAAGGAAGGAAGGAAGGAAGGAAGGAAGGAAGGAAGGAGGAGGGAGGGAGGGAGGGAGGGAGGGAGGGAGGGAGGGAGGGAGGGAGGGAGGGCAAACGAACAGATTTGAGCTGGACAGTCCAATTAGGGCAAGAACACACAAAGCAAGTGCTGTCATATCTGCTTTGACTCCTGTTAATGCTGCTCCTTCCAGCCCATGGGCTACTTACCTGGTACGGATACAGAGTGACTCCATTGGTTCTCGATAAAGACCAGGTACCATCTACATACTGGTGAGCTTGGATGGCCACAGAGTTGAGAATGTTTCCATTGCTGGGACTGGTGGCCATCTGCAGACTGACCTTTGCCTGGTGGGTTGGGGACCCACTCTTCTTCTCTGCCCCATTGCTGACCCCGAGGCTGTTGGGTTTGCTGCTGTGCTTGTTGGTGATAAAACCTGTATAGGTGGAGGTGGCATAGGAGGCAGGCACAAAGGCCCAGTCTCTGGGCTGCTGGAGCCCTGCCGCATGCCGGGAGCCCACCAGGGCAGGGATGTTGGAGAGAGGTGGCGGGGAGCCTGGTGAAGCATCATAGTGCTCGCTGCCTGCTGCCTGCTCCAATGTCAGCACCATCTGAATGGCCTCCTGCTTCAGCTGGTTCAAGTGTGTGGCACAAATGTCACAACGGTTGTCCCTGTCGTTCCATGCCTTCCGGATGGTGTTGGGAACCTGAAGCTTCTCATGAATGACAGCCGAGAAAGCAGGATCCTGCAGAACACACCAGCACAAAACAAAAAAAAGGGAGAGGGTCTATAAGTGCAATTCAGATGTCTGATTTCTGAGTCAAGGCCCAGACGAGTTAAGCTCTGAAGAGTATGATTGATTGACAGTCAACCAAAATGAGCAGCCAGACTCAGACAAGAGTCTCGAGTTGACAAACACACTTAACACATGTAAAGATTTGGAGAACAGAGACGTCAGGGAATTAAGAAAAGGAGGGGGCAGGGTGTAGATTTCTAAGCATCTTCCTCAGCAAGCCATCAAAGATCATTTCAGATTCTTCTCTAGAAAAAATTCAAGCTACACTTGGATCCTCCCAATGTGTTCATTCAGTAGACACCAATGCTTGTCCAGGTAGGAGGGAGGGAGGACAGTCATTCTGGACTGATTTATTGTGGCCCCCTGGTAACACATGGCAAGATGGTAGGGGCCCTGGTGAAGACCTAAGGCGTGGGTACACTCCTGGTGGCGCTTCCATGTGGGATTCCTCATGCTGCTACTAAGTGTGCAATTACAGTGCAAGCTTGTGTGTGAGCACGGCAACCCCAGTCACTGGGTCACTGTCACTGTCACTGTCCTCCCGTTATTCATCGATTTGCTCAAGCGGGCCCAGTAATGTCTCCACTGTAACACTTGTTACTATGTTTGGCATATCAAATACGTCATGGGTAGCTTGCCAGGCTTTGCTGTGTGGGCGAGATACTCTCGGTAGCTTGCCGGGCTCCCACAACAATAGCAGGGGAAGAGAAGGAGACTTATTTTTTTAATAATAAAAAAATAAAACTACTATGGGCTGGAGCGATAGCAGGGCTGGAGCAATAGCACATTGGGTAAGGCATTTGCCTTGCATGAAGCCAACTCGGGTTTGATTCCTCCATCCCTCTCGGCGAGCCCTGCAAGCCCGCCCAAACAGCAGAGCCTGGCAAGCTACCCATGGCATATTCGAAATGCCAAAAACAATAACAAGTCTCACAATGGAGACATTACTGGTGCCTGCTCGAGCAAACAGGCACCAGTTGCTTGATGAACAATGGGACGACAGTGCTTCAGTGCTACTATGAAAGGCAAGCAAATTGATGAACAATGGGACAACAGTGCTACAGTGCTACTATGAAAGGCTAGATCCGAAGCTTGCCTTTAATAGCTAAAAGAAATCAGGAAATTAAGGACTCTGTCTCTTGGTAACTGTGCTTTAATTTTTCTAGGCAGGATTACATGGAGCAGTAGGTGCCGAGGGTGCTATTGAGTTTCAAAATATTTGAGTTATATCAGTTCTGCTACTAATTAGCTGTGTGACCTTGAACAACTTGCTCTCACTGCAACTCTCTTGCATCATCCAAAGCCAGTCCTCTCTTATCAAGTCCATCTAGCACCCCAATTCTGTCTTGTAGGGAAATTTGGCCAGAAGAGTACAGAATCTGCATATCAGAGAGACACTTTATCATTTGGGGGTCTGATTACACTTTTGAAATTCATCTCTTATTGCAAATTAATGATGAGGCTCATCTCAAGGCATATTTTCCACTAAGACATTAGAATAAACCCTGACCTTCTGGAATTTTCTGTTAAGCTTTTATGAGGCGGAAGCCCCAATCGGGGGTGGACAGGGTAGAAGAGCAGTGTGTGAGAGATGAAATGTGGGGGCTACCCAGGTGGGCAGGAAGATCTGCGGTAGGAGGGTCTTTCTTAATTACGATCCATCTTGATTATGGGCTCCAGCATTTTGTTTTCCCTGTTTAACTACCCTGAACAGCTCCTCAGCATGCACTGATTAATTGATTAATAAATCAAGAGGGCTCTTTACACAGCTGCAGCAAGGAGTGGCTCAGGAGGCAGAAACTCAAGACAGGCATTTAAAATGATGGGAAACAATAGGAGGTCAAGGTTGATCAAGTCTGGTTGATGAACTGATGCAAACTATGGGCAATGTATCTGGTGGCATTCTTCTAAATGAAAATGACTCTGCAAAGTCTAACCTCAATTCAGATTTCTGAGACACAAGAGGGCTTCTTACAGATCATTCTAGAACAGTTCATCATCTTCACTTTCAGATAAGGAAATTAGGCTCTAAAATGGTGGCTTAGACTACGCTTAGATTCCTGAAAATAATTTTTCACTTCAAAAGTTCAAGAAGGGGCTGGAGAGATTGTACAGGAGATTAAGGAGCTTGCTTTGCATTCTGCTGGCCCCAGTGAGATCCCCAGCACTGCTTATGGTCCCCTGAAAAACAAGAAAGAAGTAAGCCCTAAGGAGGACCACCAAGCATACCCTCCCCCCGCCCACACACACAAACACACACACATTCAAGAAACTCCTCTTTTGGAGTTTATAATATGAACTCTTATTATTCACATAGATATACAGAGCTTTTGTCCCATTCACACAGGAAATATTCACTTCTGCAATAGAAATTTATTTGAATTCCCATAAGCATGTATATACTGTCTTACTTTTTCATATACTATTACATAGTAATAATTTGCCCTTATCACTAAATACCATAGGAAGATGTGACTTTCAGTGACCATGTGTGGATTACCACATTCAAATACACAATTTTAAGACAGCGAGAAATGAGACCAACATGCAAAAGCACTCTGCAACCCGTGGCTCATGATTTTCAAGGCGTCAAACTGTCTGCTTTCAAGAAGCCTCACAATAATTTACTTGTTGATCATACTTTTTAAAAACCATTCATCTAAAAAAGTATCACCAGAAGGAGGGAGCTACAAGAGCAGTCCATCCTTATGTCACAGCTTAATTTAAACCCCTATGGCCAGAGAGATAGCACAGCAAATAAGGCACTAGCCTTGCAAACAGGAGAGCCTTGTTTGAATCCCCAGGACTGCATATGATCCCTTAAGGATCATAAGGGCTGATCTCTGAGCACAGTGTCAGGAGTAAACCATAAAGTAACATCATCAAGTGTGGGCCTCCAAAACCAAAGAAAATAGAATTTCTTAGGCTGGAGAGATAGTATGGTGGCCAACTCGACTTTGATCCCTGGCATCACATATTGTCCTCCAACCCCCAAAATAGAGCCAGAAGTAAGTGCTGAGCTCTCTTTTGTGTGGTCCAAAACCCAAAAACCTAAAAACATGAAACAAATCAAAAAATCCTTATAAATAGATTTTTGTCAAATAGGGATTTGACTCTGACATCTACAACTGGAATAATCCAAACACATCTACATGGGTCAAAGAGCATCAACCATCTCTGGCTTTCAACATTATCTTTCTCTTCTATGTCTGGTTTTGGCTATTCTCCCATGGAGAAGCAGCTTCTCTACCCAGCTTACTTGCTGCACTCAATTTCAACATTTAACAGTGTCTTTTGGTGTCTGATGTGGGGCTGTGTAGCCTGAGGGTTTAAGGATACAGGAGAGCCATTCCTATCCTCTGAGAGCTCACACACAGTCCAAGGGCACATCCTTTTGCTGCCAAATCTAGTCTATAAGTAATCAACAGTCACTCAGACACATACAGAGCTCAGCACTCCTCTCCTGGTCCCTGAAACATCTACAAAAGCATCATCAGGGAGTTCTTGCAGCCAAAACCACTGCCAGAACAATCAACAGGACCACAGACAGTTATGGAAGAAGCAGAGCCATAGTTGTCTCCTCCAGAGGAAAGCTGAGATTGATTCTTTAATGAGTGAGCAATTGCTGACTGATGTCAAAGAGGGGTCCCCTAAATTAAGCAACCCTTGATCTGAAATCCTCTGTGGGTTCTTATCATCAAAAGACCTCAGTAAGTCAAGAGATGCAGCTCATGGAAAGGAAAATCCCTTTCAAGTGCTTGTCCACACATTATAAATATTTTAGTGCAACTCAAAACTTCAAAGAGCTATGGTCAACACACAGCTTTCTCTAAGTGCTGGACGAAAGAATCCCGCTTCAAGGGAAGCAGAATTAAGTAGAAAGAAAGGGAAAAGGCTTCAGAGGCATGGATGACTGACATACTAAGTTCTCCTCACATGGATACCAAAAGAGCTGAAGTCCCCCAGATATACACAGATGGACAGGTGGCACCCAAAAATTCCTGGAGCTGATTTGGAATGTTCGTAGAAACCCTATATGTCATGTAACATGGTTCCTCGACTTCAAAGGCATATGCCTTGGCTGGTCCTGCTATAGCCTACAACCTAAGGAAACAATAGGGTGGGAATAGTAATGAATACAGGTACAAAGCTTTAATTTTTAAAACATAATTTTTATTTCAGCACATACAAAAATAGGCTGTTAGTCCTAGGGCCACATTTCATCCTATAATTCTGTTTAAGGGTTCTGTGCTCACTTCCCTCTTATTTTGGTGGGAAGATTCCCACTGGTGGGTTGGGTGTTTGTATATTATCTGTAATGAACTATTGTGAATTACTTTATGAAAATAAAATGTATAAAAAAATTTTAAAGGGTTCTGTGCTCAACCCAAGTGCGTGATAATAGATGACTGGATAAAGAAATTGTGGTGTATAGACACAATGGAATACTACTCAACTAAACAAAAAGATAAAATCATGCCATTTGTACTACATAGATAAAACCAGATGATATCATGTGAGTGAAGTCAGAACAAGAGAAACAGCTATTAAATGATCTCTCTCCTATGTGGGGTATAAGCATTTAGAAAAGAAGCAACAAATGGTCAAAGGCAATAAAACCTAAGACTTGGTCTACAGACCTAAGCTTTTCTGAGGTGGGGGAAAGGGGAGAAGGGAAGAATCTTTGGACATTTGTGGAAGGAAGTGGGCATTCTGGTGGAGGCAGAGGTGTTGGAACAAAGTTTGCATGAAGCTATCCTTGATGGTACTGTAAATCACAGTAGACCAATAAAAAGGGGGGAGGGTAGGATTATCATTTCTTGAGACAGTGGTGTGGGGTGTTTAGCACTTCAGTGGTGTTGGGACAAAGTACAGTATCTTTGTACACCAAAAGCATAATCTTTCCACCACTGTAATCATACTACCTTAATAATAAAACAGGATTTTAA